TACTGTAAAACAGAGGGAATTATACCCATTATCTTGTAATACCTATAATGGAATATAATCTGCAGAAATACTGAATCACTATGTTGTACACCTGAAACTAACACAGTATTTTAAATCAATTATACTTCAAAAAAATCCAGTTTGAATAGTTAGATAGACAAAGAAAAAAAAAGGCAAAACTGAATTGATTTAAGAAGTAAGAAAGTAAGTTAAATAAAAAACAAAATGCCCCCTTATTGCTCTCTCTCTCTTTGAGCACGTGTAGTTGAATTTGGGTAGGTTATCTTGCTTATGATCCAGCTCCATTTGTCTCATAAAGAAAAGACAAACAGCATGCTGTTCTCTAGTGATACAACAGTAAATAGAACAAACGGGGGTTTTGCCATCATGAAGTCTACAACCTGTGGAAGAAAAAGACATTAAATAAGAAATAAATTGAAATTACCCATGGTGGCAAAGGCCATGAAGAGAACAGTGACTGAGAATAAGGGAGGGAGGTCTGGAGGGAGGTGGACCTCATAAGCTATCAGAGTGGCCTCTCTGGGATTACCTGGGCACCTGAGTATCCTGGGATCTGTAGGATGAGAAATCGTGCTTGCAAAAGAGTTGGGAGGGGGTTTGCAGACGAGTATTTCAGATAGAGCAGCATGTGTGTAGGACTTTGAGGGGAAGGGTGGCTTGTTCCAGAAACTGGGAGAATGATTTTGTGGCTAACGGTACTCAAGGGGGGAGGGATACAAGATGAGGTTTGAGAGGACTGTTAATAGCTAGATCAGATTCTCAAAGGAGAGATACTGCCATCTAGAGGTTACTTGGGGAATTTACTAGGGGCATTTTTTTGCTCCTCAAAATTAATGGTACCTCTCCTGGAATTTGTAGATAGGGGACCTGGGAACCTAGATGGCACGCAACATGTGTGACTGTTCTGGAAAATGAAGTATTGACCCATTTTGCAAACAAAATTAAAATGTCCTGCTAGAACACATCATGGAAAAACCCCTTACTGAGTTGCCTCAATGGAGAATCATGGCTTCTCATTTAAATTCACAGACCAAGAGGCCCTTGACTGACTTAGAGTCCGGTCCCTTAGAGGGAGGGAGGACTCTATAACAATGTCGCAAGTATATACTGAAAATCTTCCTTCAGGCTAAGGCGACTGTGGCCATTTACCAGGGTGATTATACACTTGGGAAAGGCAATGCTATTTCTGAGTTGACACTAATAACTAGGGACCCAAAATGCCATGTTTAAATATTGATGGTGAGGATCCTGAGTGGTGGGGAGTGGGAGGGAAGGACTGGATGAAACTTCCAGGTTATCAGTAGTGATTCCAGGAGTCTTCCAGTTAGATGGCGCCCAGTAACCAAATGGGAAAGGAAATTAGAGGGAAAGATTGATTGAAAGGATAATTTAAACTCACACACAGAAAAACAGTGTATCGGTTTTCTATCACTGCGTTACAAACCACTCTAAAACCTAGTGGATTAAAATAACAACTATTCACTATTTCTCAGAATTCCCATTTTCTTAACATATTTATAATAGTTATTTTAAAGTTGTCTATTGCTTCTACAACTAAAGATACAAAGAAGGAACCACAACGAGATGGGCAGGAGGGGTGGCGTCATGGTATAGTCAAGACCCGCATCCCCACAAAAGGGAGAGCAATTGCAGTTGAGGGTCTCCCTGAGGAGCAAGGGGTCTGAGTCTCGCATCGGGCTGCCAGCCTAGGGGTCCTGCACCAGGAAGACGAACCTCCAGAATGTTTGGCTTTGAAGGCCAGCGGGCCTTACTTTCAGGCAACCAGATGGCTGTGGGAAAGAGACTCCACTCTTAAAAGGCGCACACCAAATCTCACATACTCTGGGACCCAGGGCAGAAGAAGTCATTTGAAAAGAGCCTGGGTCAGAGATACTTGCTAATCTTGGAGAGCCTCTTGGAGAGGCAGGAGGCAACTGGAGCTCACCTCGGGGACGCAGACACTGATGGCAGCCGTTTTGGGGAGTTTATCCTGCCATGTGGACACTGATGCTGGCGAGTGCCATTTTGGAATCGTCCCTCTAGCTTATTAGTTCTGGGGCAACTGATTCCACCCACTAACCTTTTGGTACTAGTACTGGGACACCCCAGGCCAAGCAACAAGCTGGGCAGGGACACAAGCCCCACTGCTGGCAGGCCTACTGCCCTAAGACCCCCCTGAGCCCACAGCTGCCCTTGTCCTGGCTCTGCCACTAGAGGGCCGAGGACCCAGCCCTGTACACCAGCACACTAGCACTAGCCCTGGACCCCAAGGACCCTGCAGCCAGAGACCCTAGGACCCTGGTCTACCCAGTGAGTGGGCGCTAGCCCCAGGGTCCCCTTGGCCCCAGCTCCACCCACCAGTCCGCCAACACCAACCGCAGGACCTTTGGGTCCTACAGCCAGAGACCCTAGGTCCCACAACAGGCCTTATCCACCAATGGGTGAGCACCAGCCTTGGGATCCCCTGAGTCCTGTCCCCACCCACCAGAAGGTGGTTACCAGCACCACGACCACTGCAACCCTGCAGCCTCTCATTCCAAGACCCAGTTCACCCATCAGCAGGCCAATACTAGATCTGGACCCCTGGCCCCATAACCACTCACTCCAGGACCTGGCTCTGCCCACCAGTGGGCCAGCACTAGTCCCAGGACCAATCCTACAGCCAGCAGCCTCATTACCCAGCCCTGCCAACCAGTGGCTGGCAGCCTCAGCACAAGTCAGGGCCTGGCAACCAACTGGATTGGGGGCCAGCTACACTTACCAGACCCCCCACAGTAGTCAGCCTGCAACAACAGAAGGACTCACGCAGCCCGTATAGAGGGCACCCCTTGAGCACAGAGCTCTGGTGACTGGAGGTGGGTGCACTACTGGGATACATAGGATGTCTCCTACAAAAGGCCACCTCTCCGAGGTTGGGAAATAGAACCAAACTACCAGATACATAGAAAAAAACCCCCAACAAATTAGGCAAAATGAGGCAACAGAGGAATATGTTTCAAATGAAGGAACAAGATAAAACCTTAGAAGAACTCAGTAAAGGGGAGGTAGGCAATCTACCCTACAGAGAGTTCAAGGTAATGATCCTAAAGATGTTCAAAGAACTTGGGAGAAGATTGAATGAACAGAGAGAGAAGTTAGAAGTTTTTAACAAAGAGTTAGAAAATATAAAGAAGAACCCAACAGAGACAAATAATACAATAACTGACATGACAAATATACTAGAGGAAATCAATAGTAGATTAAATGATACAGAGGAATGAACCAATGAGCTGCAAGACAGAGAAGTGGAAATCACTGAAGCTGAACAGAAAAAATAAAAAAGAATAAAAAAAAATGAGGACAGTTTAAGAGACCTCTGGGACGACATCAAGTGTACTAATATTCACATTATAGGGGTCCCAGGAGGAGAAGAGAGAGAGAGAAAGGGGCAGAGAATATACTTGAAGACATAAAGCTGAAAATGTCCCTAACATGGGAAAGGAAACAGACATTCGGGTCTGGGAAGCACAGAGTCCCAAAGAGGATCACACCACCAGACATTGTAATAAAAATGGCAAAAATTAAAGAAAGAATATTAAAAGCAGCCAGGGATAAGCAACAAGTTATGTACAAAGGAACTCCCATAAGGCTATCAGCTGACTTTCAGCAGAAACTCTGCGGCCAGAAGGGAATAGCATGATATGTTGAAAGCGATGAAAGGGAAAAACCTACAATCAGGAATACTCTACCTGGCAAGGCTTTCATTCAGATTTGATGGAGAGATTGAAAGCTTTACAGACGAAAGCTAAAAGAGTTCAGCATCACCAAACCAGCTTTACGATAAATATTAAAGGAAATTCTCTAAGAATAGAAAGAGAGATCAGATTTGTGATTCCTAGAGGTAAGGTAGAGGGAGGGAAGTTGGATGAAAGCTGTCAAAAGGCACAAACTGCCAGTTATAAGATACATAAGTACTAGAGATGTGATGTACAACATGATGAGTATAATTAACACTGCTGTATATTATATGTGAAAGTTGTTAAGAGAGTAAATCCTGAGAGTTCTCATCATAAGACAAATTTTTTTTCTACTGCTTTAACTTTGTATCTATGTGAGATGAGGGAAGTTCACTAAACTTATCATGATAATCACTTCATGATATATGTACGTCAAATATTATGCTGTGCACCTTAAATGTACATAGTGTATAAGTTAAACATATATCAGGTGACATATAGTGCCATATGCCAATTATATCTTAATCAAACCAGAAGAAAGAAGTTGTCTGTTAATTCCAACAACTGCGCCATCTTTGGGTCTGCTTCTATTGATTACTTTGATTCTTGATTGTGTCATATTTTCCTTCTTCTGAACATGTCTTTTAACTTTGAAATATTCTGTGCCAGAAATTGTATTCAAAAGAACTATAGAGACTAGAATAAGTTTTTTTTTTTTTTTTTTACTCAAGGAGAGCATATCCTTTCTTCTGTTAGCTAATTGGTTCTGGTTGTTAACACACCTCTGCAAACCAAGACAACAAAATGTTTTTAGTTCTTGTTGTGTTACCACGTAGGTAAAAAGAAAAGTTTGGAATTTCAGAGTAATGATTTATGAGATGATAATGAGGTCACAGAGATGAATATTATAGCTAAAGACAGCTGGTAAGAGCACCATGGGATTACTGAGAACAACCTGAGTTAATCTCTGAAAATGAACACATTTATACCTAAAGTCTTTACCTTAAAAATTCTAGAAACATAAGGATACATAAGCACACTTTTCATTAGCTGCCAGAATGATATTATCATATGTTGCATAGATTCCAGAAAATTCCACTGCACACTTGTGAGAGTGAGATTGAAAAAGGCAAAGAATGATTATTATGATGAAAATAGTTTTGACTTAACAGACCACCTGAAAGAGGACCTTCTGAGAACAGCTGTGTAGACTAACAGGCAAACACCAAGATCAGCCAGAGATGTTTATTGACAGAGCTCGGGCATCCTCCGGGGTCTGACTCAGGGTAGCTTCATCTGCATTTTGATGGCTTTAGGCTTCAAAGAACTTAAAATCTCCTTAACATTTCTCTTGGCTGGTACTTGGGCTTCACACAGCACATTTTATTATTTGTGCAGTAAACATAGACGCTTTCCTTCTTGAAGCATCTCTGACGGCATCTGCCACGAAGATTCCAGCATTTTTGGGTGCCACCTGACACACAAAAAAGAAAGAAGAATGGAGATGGTGTCAGTACTAAGAAGGGGTAGGTTCTGAGTTTGGAAGATCTTAAAAGGGTTAAAACAGATGTGATAGAGGGTGCTCAGTTTCCTTTGGCTTCCATCTGTATCTCTTGCTTCCCCTTTATTAGGTCTCTTGTGATTACACTGAGTGCACCCAGAAACGCCAAGATAATCTCCCCATCTCAAGATCCTTAACTTAATCACACCTGCAAAATCTCCTTTACCATGTAAGGTAACATATTCATAGGTTCTGGGGATTAGGGCTTGGAAAGCTTTGGGGAGTCATTATTTAGCCCACTACGTTACGCAAAAGATAAAAACTATAACACATTTCAGAGAAAGAAAGGAAGACATAAAGAAATGAAGAGAGCCACCATGTTCATGGATTCAAAGACTTAATTTTGATAAGATCTCAATTCTCCTTAAATTAATCAACACAGTCCCAAGAAAAATTCCAGCAGGCTATTTTGTAGAATTGAAAAGCTGATTCTAAAATTTATGTGAAAATGCAAAGGACCTGAAACAGCTAAAACAATTTTTGAAACAACAAAGTTTGAGGACTTACACTACCTGATTTCAAGGTTTACTACAAAGCCGGAGTAACCAAGACAACATGGTATTGGCATAAGGACAGACATATAGATTAGTGGAATGGCAGAGAGAGTCCAGAAGTTGATCCCAACCTATATGGTCAATTGATTTTCAACAAAGATGTCAAGGTAATTCAAAGAGGGAAACGGAAATCCTTTTCATTAAACGATGCTAGCATATCCATGTGCAAATAAGTGAACCTCAACCTTTATCTCACACTATACACAAAAATTACCTCGAAATGAATTATGGACCTAAATGTAAGAGCTAAAACAATATAGCATCTGGAAGAAACCATAGGAGAAAATGTAAGAATACATTGGACTTCTTCAAAACTAAAAGTTCTTGCCTTTCAAAAGACACTGTTAAGTAAATCAAAAGGCAATTTACAGTCTAGAAGAAAGTATTTACAAAGGGTATATCTTACAAAGAAAGTTTACCTAGAATACATATAACACACAACAAAAAACCTGATTAAAAGTGGGCATTACACCAAAGAAGGCATAAATGGCAAATAAACACAACAAAATGTTTCATATGATTAGTCATTAAGTATTTTAGTTATCAGTAAAACAATGAAAACTACATGCCCACTAGAATGGTTAAAATGGAAAGACAGACAATCCATGTGTTGACAAAGATGCGGAGCAACTGTAAATCTCGTATCGTTGGTAGGAATGCAAAATGGTACAGCCACTTTGGAAAACGGTTTGCAGTTTTTTATGAAGTTTATCATAACCTTAATCATACAACCCAGCAACTCCACCCTTAGGTATTTAGAGAAATGAAGACTTGCATTGACCCTTTCAGAATAGCTTTATTTATAACAGCGAAAAACTGGAAACTGCCCAAACATCTAACAATTAGTTAATTGATAAACAAATTGTGGTTTATATTCATACAATGGACTACTACTCACCAACACAAAGAAACAAGCTACTGACACATGAACATGGTTGAATCACAAAAGCATTATGCGAAGTTAAAGAAGCTGGGCACAAAAGCCTTCATGTTGTATAATTTCAAAAGGCCAAACTAAAGTGACAGAATGTAGATTAGTCATAGCTGGTGGCTGAGGGACCCAAGAGGTGACTGATAGCAAAGGGGCATGAGAGCTTTTTTCAGGGTAATGGAAATGTATTAAACCACAATTGCAGTGGTGGTTACGTGAGTGTATAAATTTGTTGAAACTCGTGTTATATACTTAAAATGTGGACATTTAATCTTATGTAAATGATAATTCAATAAAACTGATAAAAAATAAGAAAAAAGTTCAATAGATAGGCAGAGGAGATTCAACACAGAGACAAGATGAGACCTTGAGAAATAAAATCAGAGCAAGATGTCAGAAGAAATATTACAAACTATAATTCAAGAGAACATTTCTTTAAACAAAAGGTGACTTGAAAATGCTGAAGGAGTACACAGCATATCTGAGAATATTGGTGCGGAAGAAATAACATACCGAAGTAATACGGAATAGTCTGAGTACAAATCCTGAAGTCCTCACTTTGAATAGGAATTATCAATATGAATTCATGAGGTATTTCATGTGTATTCAATGTGTTGATTTTGCCACCTGTTCTATCTACTGTAAAGATGTAGAGGGAAGAACCAGTTTAGTAGCGTTGAATATTGGTAGCATCTAGATCACAGTTCTGAAATGCCATTTTCTTACTAAAAAAAATTAGGGCTTCTTAAAGAAATGGCTAGTTCAAGGTCTGGCGCAGGAATTGCTCACGATGAGCCCAGTGTATCTTGTCACACCAGATAACTAGTTGTGAACCAGTGAAACTGCTTTTGTTAATGAACAAAAGGACAAAGTGCTGAGAAACCCTGTTTTCTCAAATCAAACCTGTCAGAAACTTTGTATTTGAAATATCTGCCCCACAAATCCACATGACCCACCCCTTATCCTCCCTCAGGTCACAGTGAGCCATTCCAGGAATACTCCTTTCAAATGGCAAATCCATATTCCGCTGGTAATCGTTGTCCCCTTTCCTGCCTGTTTTGTTCTTTATACTCACAATCTGACATTCTGTATGTTTCACTTACTTAAAAATTTTTTTCTGCCTCCCTCAATAGAATGTAAGCTCCAAGAGCCTGAAGGATTCTTTCTTTTCTTTTTTTTTGGGGGGAGCGGAGGGAGGGAGATAATTAGGTTTTATTTTTATTTATTTACTAATATTTTAATGGAGGTACTGGGGATTGAACCCAGAACCCCATGCACCCTAAGTACACACTCTACCACTGAGCTATACCCTCCCCCTCGAAGGCTTTTCTTACCTTGTTTTGTTCTGTTCTGTTCACTGCTCTACCTCCTGTATCTACAGTACCTGGAACATGAAATCCATTCAATCATGTTTGTTGAATGAATTGATTAAATAAATCATGATATGTCAGGTTTCTTTCTTCTAAACCCAGGTGTAATCTTGGAGAAGGAGAAATGCTCAAAGATGGAATATTTATTCCAAAGAGACAGAATTAACTTGAAACTGTTTTAACTCAGAACAGAGGAACATTTAACTGCTAAGTGCCCTCCACCACTGTCCTGGCAGCAGGATGGAAGTTCCTGGAAAAATCTAGGTGAGTTATAGAAAATGAAGAAGCTACTTTTTTTTTTTTTTGCACACCAAAGTTTCAGTGTGTTCAATGTTGTTCCCTCAACCCTAGATGGCTATATGCATGGCTTTGTTATAGTTTGAGAAATGAGGAAATTGAAATTCTGGGCTGACCATGGGCACCCCAGGACCCTGGATCCCCTCTGGCACTCTGGGTTTAAATACTATTTCACGTCTCTCCCAGTGAGTTCCTTCCAGGCCATGTCACTGATCTCTGTGGTCCTAGCTCCCAACACCAGAGCTAGGCACAGAGACAGCAACAAATAAATACGAGCTCTCCTCTCTCCTTAAAGTGGCTGCAGTCTTTACAAAGCCTAGATCATTCTGGGGACGATTTTGTGAAAGGGCCACTACTATCCCATCCTCTCCCTGCTCCTCCCGCCCACCTCTTCCGTCCTTCCCCACACGTGGGGCCACCCGGGCATGCTCCCTGGGAGAGTGGGGTGGGGTGGCTGAGCCAGAAGCTCTAGGTGTAGTTGATGCCTAAGATCTGGCGCCTGCCGCCGGTGCGGGCTCCTCCTCCACGTGACTCCGTGAGGAGACCTACAGAGGCCGGGCAGCCCATCCTCCCCGCCCGTGGGATTCTGTGATCAGGTCTCACTCTCCACACCCTGCCCCTTCCCTGAAGAGGTCCAGGTTACCTGGAGTGAGCTGGGACAAGAGCAGCAGTGCAGCCAGAGTCAGCAAAAGGAGCTTCATGGCTGGAAGTGGCCAAGTGAAGCTGCAAGTCCGATGTGCTGGCAAAGCTAATTGGGGGAGAGCTCTGGCCTCTCTGGCTTCCCCTCCCTTGGTCCAACCGGAACAGATGTCACCCGCACGTGCCCTCAGCTGACCACGGGCACGGCCCCCTTGCCCCGTGAGCCCGCAGTGTGCAGCCACACGCCCTGAGCTGGCACGCTTCCTTCGTCACTTAGGTCAAGCAACAAGGTCCCACATCCAAGACCTCGTACGCATCCTTCCACCCGGCTCTAAACCGCCGGCACCAACGGACCACAAGGGGGCGCCACGCACAAGGACTCCAGAAGGTCGAGGCCGACCTCGCAGGGAAGATGGCAATGAATCGTGTTTGGAGGCATAAATACCAAAGCACCAGGCGATGAGCTGAAATGCGGTTCTAGGCGAAGGGAAGTCTGTACCAAGGTTTCTGTTGGTGTGGAATATGAGAAATAGGAGGTAACTGGGGCGGAAACTGGCAGGAGAATGGTAGTAAGAGATGAAGCTCCCACACCAGCCTGGCTGTGCCGTCTCAGTACCAGCAGCCGCAGCGCCCCGCCACCCGAGGGCTGACCAGGCAGTGGACCTTACCCACAGAGCCAGACCTTCTGGGCGCCAGGCTGTGCCCCTTCCTCAGAGATCCAAGAACCAGTTATTGGGTCCCTCTGAACACTTAAGTTTTGAAAATCCGTCCTCTTCCCTCAGTTCTCACAGCCGGGGGTGGGGGTGGTTACTGTTTCCGCAGGGTCTTCGGTTTGCTCGTTTTCAGCCTTCCAACAACCGTGCAGCCAATTCCTTATATGAAATATCCTATGTGGCTTCCGTTTCCCAGCTGAACCCTACTTGATACAGCAATCAAGGGTGGAAAAGCATATGTAGGATTTACAAGACAAAATAACACTGAAAAACCATTTCCATAGGGGCAGAAAACATATCGAGGATGATGAAGAATGGAAGGTAAGTGAAAGAGTGAGGTCAGTAGGTGTAAACAACTCCTAAAATCTTTACCGGGGTGGGGGAATAGCTCCAGCGGTAGAGTGCATGCTTAGGGCAAGGTCCTGGGTTCAAACCTCAGTACCTCCATTAAAATAAACAAATAAATTAAAAAAACCCTAACCAGTCCCCGTAACATTAAATTAAAACCTTTACAAGAGGAGATAGAAGCTAGGAAGGGACTCAGTGCCCAATGACTAGAAATCCACCGTTGTCTGTGTTCATTTCTAAGGAGGTTCATTTTTCAAATATGTATTAGTTAAGGCTCATTCAGGGAAGCAGCAGAATGCCATCAGCATTAGGTAATAAGGATTTTATTATAAGGATGAGACGCTATTCAATTGTGGGAGAAGCTGGGAAGAAAGATCTGAGCCTGGGGTAGTGAGATCACTAAGGCAGCTGACGTAGAATTCTGTGAAAGTCATTTGTTCTTCAAAGCTACTGCCTGTTTGAGTTCATAGAGGAGTGTTGAGCGGTGAGCCTGGGCCCGGGGTCACTTTGGTCAGCAGGGCTGGCAATTGGGAAGGAGAGCTGACGTGCAGCAGGAAACAGCGAGGACAGACTGAAACCTACAAACCTCTGTGATTCTGTCCCTCACCACCTCTGACCAATGACAACCTTCAGAGCACAGTGATGCTGCTTCATCCCCATCTCCCGAATCTCATGAAAAAGAAAGGAAGGAAGGAAGGAAGGAAGGAAGGAAGGAAGGAAGGAAGGAAGGAAGGAGGAAAGAAAGAAA